GTTTTTTAATACATTATACCGTATAAAATAAAATAGGTATTATTTTATCCTAAATAGTGCCTAGCTATAATGTAACTACTATGATTGTTGTCCAAGTACAATAGCACTATTATTAAAAATAATGCCGTAAAGACGTGAATAAAATATAAAATCTATATTAATGTTAAATTATTTTTTGCAACTTTAAAGCGATAGACGGAGTTATAGGCGCCATGCGTTTGATATACCTGCCATACCTCCAATAGCCGCGATTCCTGGCATACCTGAACTCTCGCACTCCTACTTTGGCCACAATAGAGGACCAGAATATTCCGATTGGCACTCAAATCAACACAAGAATAACCATAATATTAATATTCAACAAAATGATAATGACTACAAAACTAACCAAGTTACTAACAAGAATACTGATAATAATGGGAGACATTATAGCCTACATCACGAGAATGAGCGCTGGTATCACAATAGACATACATCGGGGAACTCATACCATTGGGGCAGTGATGGCGATCGGCCACAGGGTGTGACCACTCGTACCAAATGGAAACGACACCACAACTCACCCGTCAATAAGATGTGGTTCAAGACATACATCCCGATGTCTACTGTGGCCACACCAGTGCCCCATCATTCGCATGTGTTAGACCACCGGCCCAAATGGGACGCACACTTCACACACAGGACCGATGATGGTGTGCCCATACCTACTATGGCTGATCATTACCTGCCGATGCCATCCATTAATGAGAAAGTGTTTAAGAATAATGTTTATTATAAAGAGTTTCACTATAGTTGGGATATTAATGATCACAAATGAATGTCTCATCGAATACTAACAACTCTTTTATTTTTATATAAATTAATAATTGAATAAAAATGTTATTTATGTTCTCTCTCTCTCTCTCTCTCTTTTACTTCTCTTATGAAATAAAACCCAATGCATTTAAAACCTAAATATAAAACAACTAACCATTAAGTTAAAATAATAAAATACTAGATTAATTTTAAAACATGATTTACTTCCTATATTTTATTTTTATTAAATGTCTAAAACATTAAAACCTCTAATACTTGTGGGAAAGTTTGGTTTTGGTTAGGATTATTCAAAATAATACCTGTAAATACGATTGTTCTAATGTGAAAGTATGTTGCTTTATTTATATTTAGCCAAAAAAAATTCATTTTTTCAAAAACTTTAAAAGTTTGATGAAAGATGATTTTCTTTGAATTAATAATTAGTTCAAAAATAATGTATTTTATTTTTAGTCCCAATTTTTTGATAGTTAACACTAATTAGTGTACAGAATATCTCTCAATCTTTATATAAAAATAAATATATTTTGACAAAACGTCTATTAGTTTAAGACGATTAACGAGATTTTTTATTTATAGTTTTGTATAATGGGGATATACAGGTATAATCCTGCTAAATTGAGATGTGCAGGGATGTACATGTCATTAAACGTCAAATAAATCGTGTGTATATCTCCCAAATTTTGCACTAATCTGTTTAGTATTAAATAATGTATACTCCGACGTCATTCATAATGATATAATAAATGAAAAATAATGCTCTAAAAATATACCACCTCAATTAAGCTTTCAGATAATTAATTGTATTAATTAATCCGTAGAAAAGTCCGTAAAAACTAAACTACCTTGACATTCAACTGGCGTTGACATTCAATTCCAAATGCTCGGAATAACACTAGAATTCTGACTATACTTAAGTGTTGTTTTTGTTTAAAGAATTCTATTTATATTGTCTTAAAGACAGAAAACAGAATTACCTGAAGTTGACGTTCAAAAAGACGGTAAGCACGGTACAGGTATGCTATCGACTGTATGCCTACATATAATATTTGTTGAACAGATTTCTAAGAAAATCGTTTTTATTAGATTTCAACAGAATTCCTATTGTTCTTCCGACAACTGGTTACCAGTTTTCAAATAGAATTTAATTATAAATATTACAGTTATTTATCTACAGAAGCGTATGGAGAATGGATGAAATAAAACGTCAACTTCAGACAAATGAAATCTTTTATTTTTTACCCTCTTCCTAAGAAATATCTATTTTTGTACTAACTTTCATTTAATGTCGTAAATTCAAATTAAATATTTTGTTTTTGAAACTATTGTTTGAACAAATTATTAAATTATAAGTGAAAACGAAATTTTCAATTTAGTTATGTTATATTATACAATTGTCTTTTTGTACATACAATATAAGTTATATTTTAAATTTATTTAACATAATACGTATATTTTACACATAATGAATTTATTTATCGTGTAATGGTTTATTGATCTTTTATTGCTATTATTATAACCTTTTAATACTAAAATGTTATTTAATATTATTCTAGATTTAAGACAAATTCCATTAAATTTGAAAACTCTCTCTCTCTCTCTCTCTCTCTCTCTCATGCCATACATTAATTAGAAATTTTAATTTTTTAAATAAGAGTAAATTGTATTTTTGAGGAGTGATTTAAATTGAAATGTGATTGAATTAGGAGATAAAATTGCAATTTTTCTCACACAAACTCTTATACGTATAGCGTATATAGTATTCTGATGTGACATTATTTCATAGCAAAATTGGTTTCCCTCACAAATACATTGATTGATTTTATTGCCTAAACCCAGAATATTTTAATTGCATACCTATATAGAAAAGTCGTGTATAGTTATTGAATATATTGTACAGGAATTTTGTTAATTATAGTTAATTTCAGTGATAATCAGTATATTAAATTGAAATGAATAATAAATTTATAGATTATTTATGTATTAATTTGTTGGCAACACTTTCGGCGGTTAGCTGTATGTGTGAGAGACTATACCTGCGCTTACATCACATGCTAATAATTAATTGCTAAAAATATTTTAGGATTCACTTATCGATTGTGAATCCTATGAAAATATTTTCGCCACAAAAAAGCTTTTTAAAAATATATCTAAACCTTATCTAACGGTATATACTGTACAGGTATATAATATTATTTTGTTGCTCACAATTAGCGCACAAATCCTATAAAAACTCAATACTAATAATACGGTTGAGAACTATGCAATAAATATATAATTAGTGTATTTTTGGGCAGAAAAATAGTATAACTTCTGATTGCTCTCATAAAAATCAAATACCGGCGCTCACATACCTATGCACACCGTTAGAAATTAATGCATTGATTATTGCGAAAAGACTAGTAATAGTAATAATACTAATAATATGCGGCGCCCGGAGGCTATGGATGACTTAGCGAACAGTTCATCTCCAGTTCCAGTCTGTGGTCATTGTCCCTAAAAAATATAATTTAAACTCTCGTAAGGAATCTCATATAAGTTATAATATATATTATAACGTGAATATCACTACTGAACTTATAATCTAAATACTGATAATCAGGTTTTTATTTTCGAAATCACTTTATTATTACCAGTAATATAGTTAGGGCTCACTTTCAATATGTATGCAAAATAAGTTAATAGGGATATCCATTGCTAATGTTTATTATACAGATACTGTATATACAATGTATTTGTTATAAACGCATGGCTACCCCATATTGAATTATTTGAAATAAATACATATTTTGATTTATCTCATTTTTTAAATTAAATTCAATTTCAAATATAGATTTGTATTAATATTTTGTGTTTATAAAACTATTTTAAAAGGCATTTGTATTGATGCTCAAAATTGTATTAATATTAATATGTTTTCTCATATGTATCATAAGTAACAAAAATAAACTTTTATGGATCAATAATAATAAAAAGCGTGATTTAAGCATAAAAATTAATGCTAACTTAAATAATATGAAATAATTAACATAATATTTATTATAAAATTTGTATCCAATTTGGCTACTCATTTTATTTTTAGTTTTACCCTTAAGTACCGTATTTCACAATATTATTGTGATTTGCTGTTTCATTAAACAATAAAAACTAATTTTAGTTTCTATAAATATAATTAATTTAGCTTATGTGAATACACAATATTCGAGATTAATTATTTCCATAATTATAAAAATTGTTGATAAATACTTATTAATAACAAAGAATTTCAATAATTTTAACATAAACAGGAACTTGATGCACATTTTTAACTATATCCTTGAGTGTACTAGACGCACTTGGTGAAATTTTAATAAAAATTAATCAATTTAGGGCATATCGTATTTATATAATTTATTTGAAAACAAAATTCATTGATTAGACCGCAAGAGAGCTATTGATTGATTGCCAAAATTATTTTACGAGATAAATAGTTAGCGATTGTAATGACAATAGACTCGGTCTATAGTCATAATCGGGAAACAAAAGCTAATTATTAGTAGCATAATAATATATTAAATAGTTTGTTAATTAAATCAATATTTAAAGTGATGCACGGAAAATACCATTGATTTAATTTATAATTTATACTAATGAGTTAGCAAACATTATAATTTATGTTTACATATTTCATAGGAATTTTGTATTTTACAAGAATGAAAGCTATTGTGCACCCTGTCTTTTGCAACAAATACACTAATATTATATAATATACACCTGCTCATTATATATGACATCATAAACCTAAGTATGAATATTCAATTAACCAAAGATCGCGTTTTATTAATTATTTACAAAATTTGGGTTAAATTTTCGTTGACGACTAGTGATCCTTGCTAATTATTGGTGCATTTGGACTACAAATATTTATCAATATTATTTTTAATTTTTATTATCAATATATTTGTATAATACATTTAATAAAATAGATTAATATAATTACCATGGTTAATAAGTGGTTTGAATTTGCCAGATAAATACCATATTTTATTTAGCACGGACTATTTTCCAATACTATTATTTAATATAACACTTAAAGTTCACAATTGTTTCGCAACAAATTGATAAAAATAAAAGTTTTTTTGTAAACTGATTACTGCCAGGGCTACTTGTCAACATAGTATCCTGTTCAGTTTATTATATAATAGCTGAGAGCATCATAAATAATATTATATTTGATTTGGAAAAATTATATTAAAACATGAAGTTAATTTTACTACTGGTGGCGTCGGCAGCTTATATATGCAGTACCGGTGCTCAAGAGTACAAGCTTGTATGGGCCGACGAGTTCAATGGGGCCGGCGTTTTGAATGACTGCGAGTGGAAGTACGAGATGGGAGGCGATGGTATGGTAGCTCTTAATTGAGTAAACATATAAAATGATAACTACTCTGTACCCTCCCGGTGCTATGTCCATAGGTTGGGGTAATAATGAGTTGGAGTTCTACACATCGCACCGACCGGAGAACGGCCACCAAGAGAATGGAAGTCTAGTGATCCGAGTGAATGTGGAGCCCAGTGGGTATGGGGGCCGACAGTTCACCTCTGTCCGTGCCATCACAGCCAAGGCCTGGACGTACGGCAAGTTTGAGGCCAGAGCTCGACTCCCGAAAGGCAAACAGTTGTGGCCGGCCATCTGGATGATGCCTCAGAACAGCTACTACGGGATCTGGTATGTAGAGCACAGGCATAAGCTTGGCTTCACATCTATACAAAATAGATATTTAAAATATACCAAGTTCATATAATTTAAGATTTATGATACATGTCGAACAATTCCATGTTTGATAATTGTTATAAGTCTGGATATACTGTACTAGCTCATTCTGAATATACGTTTAGTATACTAGTAAAGTAATAATACTCTCCAACACTATATTGACAATAACATGAACGCCGTTCCCTAAAGGGCTGCGTCGGGTGAGATAGACCTGATGGAGAACAGGGGCACTCAGAACAACGTGATTCAGGGCAGTATCCACTACGGAGGCACGTGGCCTAACAACCAGTACAGCGGGTCGGGCGAGAAGGAGTTCGCCGGCATTGACTTCAGCCGCGACTTCCATACGTTTACCTTCGAGTGGGAGAAGACTGAGATGCGATGGTCTCTGGACGGCAAGGTATACCACACCGAGAATATAAACAAGTCCATGTGGTCGGGCAAGGGAGTCAACCCATACACCGCCAATGGGCAGCCATTTGACAGACCCTTTTTCTTTGTGATCAACATTGCGGTATCAGGCAGCTTTTTCCCCGCTGATAAGTACGGACCTCCGGTAACCGTCGATGAGGCCAAGAAGTGGGAGAAGCCTACCATGGAGATTGACTACCTGCGCGTGTATCAGAAATAATAATTTCCCCCCTAGTTGCTGGACACTTTTGTCGTATAGGGCTATATTTTTTACATTGTTTTGTAATTTAAAATAATTATCAACTTGTAATTAAATTAATACGTTATGTAAAAATGGTTGCAATTTTTTAAATTTTATTCAAAGGGAAGTAAAAATATTATGATTTAAATATTTATTTCTTATTTAATGTATAGTTAAATGATTTATGAATTTTAAATAACGGTTTGTTTTGCATGACTTTGGCGCTAAATGTAAATGCGAGTTTGATTTGCTTTTTGTTTTAATTTTTGTTTTTTGGATTAAAAAAATGTTCATGTAATTAATGGTAGGTACGGTGATTGTGTGCAGTGGGGGTGGGGTTTATCATAAAATTAAATATTCATTCAGAAGCTGCAGTGTTTATTAAATGATTATTTTTGATGTAAAAATTATCATAACTTATATAATGTAATAAACATATAATTTTGGTGCCAAAAACATTAGCAAAAGCAACAACTAATCTCATATATAATTATTGATTTAATTTGAAAAACGTGTGAATATCTTATGCGAAGTTTGTATTTTTAAATATGAATTATAAGTTTTCAGTATTTTTTATTTTTTAAATATAAACAATTCTTAACAACACTAACGACTAGTATATGGAAATTAGATTTAAAATAGGAAAACAAAAAGTTAATACATATTTGTTATGTAAGTGTATATTTTTGCTCATAATTCGTGATTAACTTATACCGTACACAAAGTGACTATAGATTAGAGTTTATAAAGTGTTATTCTAACTCTTATCTAATTATACATATAAGTTATCATTAATATCCATCTGCTTGAAAGTCAGTTTCAAATATTATTTTAATTTAAAAACAATTGTTATATAGAATACCAATATATTATTAAACTAATGTAACAATTGTACTCTTGACAAGTATATATAGAATAAATTTGATAGTAAATTTATAACATAAAAGTTATTTTGATAATTTACTCGTTAAACAAATATTAAACAATGAACAAATCAATTGAAATGAACTAATTATTTAAAGGATTTTTTATATTCATGTATCATTTTAACTCAAAATACTGACTCAAACTATAAAACTGATATTATTTCAGTATATTAAATAAATCCTTTTGAGATATAATTTAGGAAACAATTTATAATAATAATAAATTTTATAGTAATTTAATTTCATGAAAATACTGTTTGATTCATAAATATTACTGATTTATGGTAAAGGGGTTACACGTTATATATCATACCATGTTATGATTTATTTTGTACACAAATTCAATGTCTGGATTTTCGGGGTCTGTCTGGTGAGGGAAATGTTGATAAAAATCTGTTTTGTCTGATAAAATTGAAAATATTACAATTTCTAGCATAGTATTTTTTAATGTGAACCTAAACAAAAAGCAATTAACATTTTTATTAAACTATATATTAATTCAAGAAATTAAAATACAAACTTTATATCATATATGTAGAGGTGGGCATGTATGCCATGTTAAGTCTGAAATTCTAGCTACAAATGTGAGGGTTTTAAACTTTTCAATTCCTTATATTGACATTAGGACTTTATTATACAGTATTTAGCGTACAATTATTTTAAAAAAGTTTATTTTTGAATTTTAATTTTAAATCAAATGTAATTAAGTTTTTATATATTTACTATTTAGTTATACTTAATTTTTAGTATGTTCCTACCTCTGGCCACCTATGACCAAATTTTCTTTAATTTACTCAAAAATTATGTATTTTATGCCAAAACCCCTTTAATTTTGGTTATCGATTGTCTGCTTATATAATATAATCCGAAAACGACCGCTAATTGTATAGAAGTTTTCATCACTTGCATGAAATATTATTTTTAGTTTTTAAATTTTAAATCATATTTATATTTTGTGCTGCATTAATGCTTATTTTAAAATTAAACGATAATTTAATGTTTGGCATAACATTAATACTATAATGCTATGAACCCTTTGAAAATTTTAATACACTTTTAAGTACTATATAATTAGTGATCTCTATCACACAATTGAATACATATTTTGGTAACTAATATAACAAATCAATTATTAGTATAAAAATCAAAACAAGAATTACAATATTTTAAGTGCCATTAATTTGATTGAATTTGCGATAAACTTTTTTTATACAAATGTATTTACAGTGTACTATAATATGTGTTGAGATATTTAGATTCACATCCCAATCCCCTTTTAATCTCACATTTATATTAATATATAAAGCAATATATAATTTGAAACATTTAAAGGGGCTATATATTACAATATTAATATCCAAATTAATATCCATTTTAGTCTACATTGAATTACCAGCAAAAAAGGGATTGCCTTTTGATTTGCGGTTTTGAATAATAATGACGATTCAAATGGTCTTATTTTTCAACAATTTTTTATTTAATTGTGAATTTAATTTATTGTTTATTAAATGGAGAGACAAATTGTTTTATACGATAAATTTTAAAATCCCATGAAATGCGACTAATGTCACCCAGTAATTATTTTTACAAATATTTTATCTTCTAAAAATGGCATACATTTAATAAATCTGTAAATTCATAATTAATATTTTTGTTTAATATCTTAATGTGCACAAATTATCTAAATTATGGTTAATTAAAATTTTATTTTATAAAAGTGATGTTTCTATGCACTGATAAAAGTTTTTAAAAATTTAAAAAAGCATCATAAATACACTATTTGATAGGAAATGTATTTCACTTATGTATGTATCGGATTATACGCTGTCCTGGTTGTTATTATTAATTTTGATATTATTATACATTAATTATGCATTTAGAAAGTTGAATAATGTTATTAAGATTACGAAATATGAATTATAATCAGTAATGAGTGATATATTGCATATTTTAGTTATATATATAAATGAGTGGATTTAAAATTGAGGACAATTTACGATATAATCGTTTCTCAAACTCCACTTCAATATAATAACTCGCTTTTATGAAATCATAATCGGATGTAATTTATAAACTATTAATAAAGTTATAGTTTTATTTTTAGTACAAGTAAATTTATACTAGTATTCAATAATTGATATACATTTTATATTGAAAAATTAAAATTTAAGCATTTGTGTCTATGTTAAATCCATTTTGTACAGTATTTTTTAATTGATAAACAGTCCTAAATATGAAATGTTTTAATTTTATAATTTTTATACGACTAAAATAAAATATATTATTTGTTTCGTAAAAGACATTAGAAATAAATTACATACAAATAAATGATGATTATATTCAGAATAAAAATTATTAAAATATTAATGTATATTTATGCTTATTATTCTTAATGTTATGTTTTTCATCAAATGATTTGCTTGTTAAATATGTGTGTGAGGTATTATTGCCGGTAATTGCCCGGTGCTTAATCATCCGCCATAATTAGATGTATGGGTTAAATATAAAAATGTATATGTGTTTCCAATTTTACTAAATAGCCCTCAAATGCTATCTATTAATGACAAACAAGTCTCTCTCTCTCTCTCTCTCTCTCTCTCTTTTTCTCGTTTCTATTTGCACTCCACATACAAACCTTAATACCAGTGCTAAAGGCATCTGAATAATTTTTAAATATATAACTTATTAATAGTAAATATTAAGCAGAAATTATTAGCATTTTTGTTTCACAAGTTTCATAATCATAAATATAAAAAATAAATGCTCTCTTCATTTGATTAAATTGCATTAATATTATTTTGCTAAATATAGAAATGCATTCAAAATTGAAATATTAGTTTTTAATATCATTATGAGTACTAATATTTATAATAAATGTTTGTTTTTATTTTATAAATGACTTTTAATAATAAATTTTAGAGATTTTAATAATAATATTGAATAATGTGCCCGCAATAGGTAAACAGATTAATATTTAATCCAAATTCACTTATAATGGATTATCATTTTTAGTAAAATTTAACAAAACTAATATCTCAAAATATTATATAAATTCATATAATTTTTAAGCCATTGAAAAATATTTCTAAACTATATTTTTAAAAACATTTGAATTATGTGGCAAAATATGATAAATGGTTTTACCATGAAATGAATGAAAACACAGAATTTCTAAAATGAATCAAATATTTTGTAAAACTCTATGTAAGGGGTGTAACACTGTTTGCGAGATTAAAATAGTGGGCCTTTTCTCGGTGTGAGATTCATAACCATTGAATGCCACACGTGGGCTATAAATCTGATAAACCACTCAAACATTATAATCCAATTCTTTTATAATAAATAAATCATTATTAAGTAAATTGAATTTTATTATATAATATATTATATGAATGCAAATATAAGAAAATATTTATTGTATAAACAAATAAATATTTTTACAAACATTTAATTTAGAGTTTATCGTTAAGATTTAATAGAATTAACTATTATTGTTAACAATATTTAACACTATATTTACAAATACATATCTATTTTATGGTTTGAAGTTTATTCATTTTTGATGGTCAATTAGTTTCACTGGTCTAATTTTGTATTTATTAGTAATCATTAATAAGGTAGATGTGTATTCCCTATCCCACAAACACCTTACGACATCATTTCTAAATTATAACATAATTAATTACATGAAAATATTTTATGCCGCAAATTTATGACTAATAAATATATTTGTATTTATATAAACATAAAAATGGTATAATTACATAATGACAACACATACTAAAATAATTTTATTATGTCATAATATCTTATTACATTAAAATGTGTAACAAACTTATAAATAATATACCATAAGATATAATGATGTTTTAAAGTAAGTATATTAATAGCGTCAGGTAGATAAATGGTATTAATTGTTTATAAGATGCATTCTGGAGAGAGAGAGAGAGAGAGAGAGAGAGAGAGATCATTTAAAATCAATTAAACACTATTTATTCAAAATATGTAAAATTAATTAATTAAATTAGCTATTATTGAAATACTAATTTGAAGTTAATTGAAATTATTTAGGAAATAATAATAAGTATCTGCTAA